TAGCTGGAATTACAGGCGTGCGCTACCACGCCCGGCTAATTTTTTGATTTATTGTAGAGATGAGGTCTCACCAAGTTGCCCAAGTGGGTCTAGAACTTGCGGGCTCAGGCAATCCACTCACCTCAGCCTTCCAAAGGCGCGGGATTACAGGCTGAGCGACCGAGCCCGGCTGACCACCCCATTTTAAAATGTAGCTCTTTGGCCGGTGTGAGATGCCATGGAGGGAGGAATAGAAACAGCCATGGTGACTTATTCATACAAATGTTTTATTTCGGGAGAATGGACCTCAGGCTTGACAACTTGACTGTACCAACTTCATTTGTAGATTAATTCCTCTAAAGACAGATGGGAAATAACAGAAATATTTAAGTGTTTGACAACTTCCCTCTTAGTAATGTTCTCTTGGGCTTTATTCCCAGATATCAAGAGAGAGAGAAACACTTTCTAGTTTCCCAGAGAGGAGCTGAGGCATTGGGAAAATTTCATGCCAGTGTTTCAACTGCAGCAACCTGCAGTTTTGCAAGAGTATAAGAAACAAGATATTGCCCTGTGTAAGGTCCTCTCAGAGCCTCAACTTTCAGAATCCTCTCATAATGTTAGGTTTGCTAATCAATTAATATATAACTGAACATTAACAGTAACAATGGTGACCAGGCATGGAGGCTCATAGCTGTAATGCCAGCGTTTTGAGATCACTTTAGTTAGCCTAGGAGTTCAAGACCAGCTTGGGTAACATAGTAAGACTCCTGTCTCTATTTAAAAAAAAAAAAAGATTGGGCTTGGTGGCTCAGCCTGTAATCCCAGCACTTTGGGAGGCCAAGGCGAGTGAATTGCCTGAGCCCACGGTTCAAGACCAGCCTGGGCAACTTGGCGAGACCTCTTCTCTACACTAAATCAAAAAATTAGCTCAGTGTGGTAGTGTGTACCTATAGTTTCGACTACTTGGAAGGCTGAGGCAGAAGAATCGCAGAGCCCAGCAGGTTGACGCTGGAATGGCCATGAGTGCCACTGCACTCCACCTGGGCAATGGAGTGAGACTCCAACTCAAAAAAAAAAACCTGGGCGTGGTGACTTGAGACTGTAATCCCAGCACTCTGGGAGGACGAGGCTAGCGGATTGCCTGAGCCCACAGGTTTGAGACCAGCCTGGGCAACATGGTGAAACCTTGTTTCTATAGTAAACCAAAAAATTAGCTAGACATGGTAGCGCCTGTATTTCCAGCTACTTGGAAGGCTGGGGCAGAAGGATCGCCAGAGCCCAGCAGGTCGACATTGGGGTGGCCGTGAGCGTGCCTCTGTACAGTGCAGACCTTGTCTCAAAAAAAAGGTTATAATGGCAAACATTTACTTGGTATTTACTGTTTGTCAGCCACAATGCTAGACACCATACTTACATTCTGTCGACTGAAGGACACATCATTCCTCTGATGGCTATCAAAATGAGTTAACATTAATTGAGTGCTTACTGTATGCCAGGCTTCGGTCTAACCTCACTAGAGATTACCTCATCGAATTCTCACACAATCCTATGAGGGAAGAACTATTACCCTCTCCTTTTTATAGAAGAGGAAATCAAAGCCTAGAGATGTTATGGGACTCCCCCAAGGTCACTTAAAAGAGAATATCTGTGGAGGGGATCCCACACCAGGCAGCACTCTCAGTCCCCAGACTATAACAACAACAGGAAATGCTTTGAGGGTATTGGCATAGAAAAAAAATTTTTTTCCAGGCACAATTCTGATACTTTCACCTCTGTCCTGTTGCTGGGCAAAACTTGTATGCTCTTTGATAGGATCTGCTTTCAGAGTGCTGAGAGCTCTGTGTGGAGGAGAAAACCCTTCGAGGGTAAGGAATGGTAATAAAACAATTCAACAGCGTCTCTTAAGTACAGCACTGCAGCCTCTTACCATTTTTGTCTCCCCCCCCCAAAAAAAAAAAAAAAATCCCATAAAATTCAAGTTAGTTTTGTATAGAAGTCAGTACCTATAGGCTTGCCGTTGCAGCATGACTGCATTAACTCTAGGGCGAGAGGAAACTCCAGTTTCTGAGCCGGGAATGGACTCGTACTTTTTCATGATCCTGTTCTTCTTTCTTTTTTAAGATTTTATTGTAGAGATGAGGGCTCGCCATGTTGGCTAGGCTGGCCTCGAACTCCTGAGCTCAGGCAGGCCTCTCGCCTCCGCCTCCCAAAGTGCTGGGATTTCAGGCATGAGCTACCACATCCCGCCGATCCTTTTCAGAAGCAGAAAGCAGAGCAGCCAAACACGCTCCAGGCCTTGCGGGCGGGGCCGGGATGCTCCACCCAGCCTTCTCGCGGGCCTTCTTGCCGCTAGACCAATCACAAGGCGCGCTTCCCCCGGTCGGCTGATGATTGGTGGTTGCCACAGCTCCGGGCGTTCGCGTGACAAGATGGCGGCGGCCGGACCGCGGCGGTCGCGTCTTGGGGTTTGGGCAGGTCCAGAATCCTAAGGCGGGTGCGGTTCGGCCGTGCCAGGCCCGCGAGGCTGAAGGCATGGGCTGTCCGCCGCCAGCCGCTTTCCTTTTGGGGCTCCTCCTTCTGCAGGGCGTCCTGAGGCCGCTGTGGGGAGACTTGGGTGTGTACGACGGGTCAGGGGCCTGCAGGGGCCGGGGCTGAGGGGACCAGGCGTTTAAAGGCCCAGACTCGGGACTCCCGGGAACTCCGAAGTTACGACCGCCAGAGAACGCCGCCCTGCACCCCTTGGGCAATGATTCAACTGTTAACGTGTCCCCTTTCTTCCCACCTAGTTTTCCTCCCTCCTTTCATCCGAATGTCCAGCCCGGCGGTCAGCGCGTCCTTGGTCGGAAGCTCCGAGGATGTGGCCGTGTCCCTGGCCCTGCTGCAGGACGAGGCGGGTAAAGAGTCTGGCCCTTCTTGTGGGGAGGGCAGGAGCTGGGCCAGATCCAGGTCGCTCTGGGAGTCTGGCAGGGTGGCCTTCTGTGGGCCCCTGCCTCTTTCTTCTGCAAAGTCTGGATGCCGGAGATCCTGTCGACCATAGAGGACTGATGGACTGCTTCGGTCAAAGAAGGCTTGAAATAATGATGACTGGCATCTGCCATTATCCCCATGCATCATCTCACTTTCCTAATAAAGACTAATA